AATTACACAAAGTTCATGACTGGATTGTGACAAAATGTTTCATCGTTTAAGAGAAGCGAATGCCTTCACGCAGAACATTTTAGTTTCACCACCAAATCTTCAGCTTTGCTCCCGAGTCACAGCACATCAAGCATGTTCGGCCTGTTGGATGTCTGCTGGTTTCGCAACGTTAGCGAGACGCACAGAAGCAAGACACGTGCACACGCCAGATAATGAGCAGCGGCTCCATCGTCTTGTGACTTAAGCTAACTGGGAAAGTCATGCATCATGTGACGTTATGGCCTCCGTCAGCACACAGAGTACTTACAGACATCTGCAAGACTGGAAAGAGGGCTTGAAGAAAGAGACGAAAGAGAGAGAGATCACAGCAGGTTATAAACACCAGAGACTCGGTGTGTGTGTGTGTGTGTGTGTGTGTGTGTGTGTGTGTGTGTGTGTGTGTGTGGGGGGGTGTGTGTGTGTGTAGAGGTAAAAGCAGAGCAGCGTTTCCAAAACGCCTCACCCAGCTCGCGGTTGGCTGTCTCCAAGGCGGCGCGGCCCTTCCCCAGGATGTCCACCTCAAACACCGGCTGCGGCGTGGTTTCCACGGCGAAGGAGGTGATGGGATGTTGATAGACGCACTCTGTCATGCTGTCATGGAGACACCCGATCAGCTCCTGTATGTCTGCGCTGAGCTCGCCCGCACTCCGCCCGTTCTCGGCCTGACGAGCACACGGACGGGTCACTTCAGAGAAATAAATAGGAACAAAATCGAACGGTGACCTTGCCAGGTCATCGTCGGTGACCTTGATCAGAAACCTGCGGGACTGCTCCACTCGCGTGACGTTGGAGAGGCCGGCGCTCTGGCAGATGGACACGGCGTTTGTTGACCAGGCGGTAGAGAAGTTCAGCCTAAAACCACCCAGACAAAACCAATACATAATAAAGGAATAATAAATAAAAGATAAACCACGGATAATCTTGATGTTAATATTCTTCGAATTTTCCATTGAATTCAAAGCTAAAATGTTTAGGAGAGAAAATGCAGCACATGTTTATGTGTTAACACTTACAAAAAAACATAATCTGTGAAGTTCAGACCAATTAGCCGACCCACATTGGCCAGGAAAACACCTGATTGGTCCATTTCCACTTTAAACAATGAAATGAAAACTAATTTTCATTTCACTCCTCTAAAGCTCACCGCATTAGAATAGACTAAATACAAATTGAGGTTCAAAGCGTCGGGCACATCTAACCTCAGTGCATTCTGATGAATATGCATTGAAAGGAGCGAATGAATATTCATGTTGGCCTGTTAACCTCCCAGCCTCGTTACACGAATAAATGAATACATTTTCACCAGTTCACCAAGTCCCTCGCTACAAAACAATGAGCAGCGCTACAACATGAAACTGACCGGTAGGAGTTGGGGTTAAACTAACATTTTTTTTGCTGAGCCCGTGTGTGTGTGTGGAAGTGAGGCTTCACAATGTCTGTCCTGGGGACCAGATTCCAATTATAAAATGATGCTGGCTTTGCTAATTAGCACTCCAGGTACAGAGAAGACCCAAAGATAAATTTAGCTTTTGTTGCAGATGCGCAATCTGATGGTGGAAAAATTGGGGGAATTCAGTGGGGAATCAGTGATTATGTGGACTTGTGAAGAGGAATAGTGAAGCAACCCCATCTCTTTTTTCACCGCCCTTAAGGACGCTGAATACTTTTATACCGAAGCTAATTAAATGCCAGACTCCGGTGTGCAGAAGTCATGAGCAGCACCTCGGTCCGATCTCCACTAGTTTGTCCCCGATTCCCTCCGTGAGCCTTGGTTGGTCAGACAGCGGCTCTGCCTGCAGAGGAGGACGAAACAACCAGAGGAGAACCTCCTTCTGCTCCGCATCCAGACGCTCACAGCCTGCAGCGGAGATCGGGAAGAGCATTTAGGACCAGGCGGAAGGCTGCTGTTTCGAGAGCGAGTTGATCGGCGTGATCTCACCTGTCAGTTCCACGTTGTAGCACAGCTCGGTGGTGATGGACAGGTGAGGGAAGAGCTTCGCTGCTCTCTGCAAGGCTCGTCCAGTCAGAGCTTCGCTTCTGTAGAACCTCAGGACGGCCATTTTTCTGAGGAGGAGAAAGAAATCCAGTTTGCGAGGCTCGCTCCTGATAAACATTCCAACTTTTGAAGCAGGTTTGGAAAAAACAAAATGTTAAAACCCCACCTAGTTTATGTTTATTTTCTACATGTTCCAAAATTGCTGAAAACTCAATATTCAAGTTCATTTATTATCTGCGAGACATTTATGCTCAATACAGATTCTTTAAAGTTCAAGCAGTGATCGCTTTTCATTTTACTTTATTTGCAAAAATGCAAACTAAAAAATAAAACAAATGTCAATTCTTTGAAAGGCTCAATTGGTTGAACTAAGATTATCTAAAGGCAGGTGAGGTGATGAGGTGAAATGGCCCTTTTTGATTTCAGGGAGAGTTCAAATTGTTGGTTTTCCGACAGTGGATAAAAAATTTAAACAGAGCTGCTGTGGCAAATCAGGGTTCATATTCAATTCAAATTTAATTCAAAAATACTTTATTAATCCCAAAGTTAAATTAAATGTTGCTGTGACTCGTGTAAAAATTACTCAGAGTCACTGTAGCTGATAAAGGACGTACAAAACTAAACATCTGAATAATCCACCATTTTATTCAGATTTTTTTCATCCCCAAAATTATGAAATTTCAGAATCTAAACAATAAGCACAAATCATTCCTGAATGATAAACTTTGAAGTGGAACTGATAAATCGCAAAGTTTGTCTCCTCAGCTCAAGACCAGTTGAGCAGCACAGTTAAAGGCGACATGGTGATGAGGAGAACTCTGGTTCCTACAGATCCAATGTTGACAAAAGGCTCAGACCACTGATACTGAACCTCCCTAATCTGGAGAGATCTCAGATTAGGACTGTCCTCTGTTCTGCTTTGGCTGATCAATTCAAATTCATTCTTAAGCCAGACAACAACAAAACACTGACACAAAAACCACTACATTCAGTGATATTTTGATTCCTGTAGTTGCATTTAGAGGAAAACTTCTGCGACAAGAGGTTTCCTCATTTCAAAGCTCTTTCAGTTCAGTTCTTCCTCTCAGCCATGACTCTAAAGCTGGGAGTTGCAAATCAGGAGCTTTCTGCAGAAAACTGCAGCCTGCATCCAACACGCGCGCCACAGTTTCCACGGTAATTACAAGTTTAGCAATTAGCAACAGGACAAGAGCGACTTGCAAGACGATGAAGAGTAACACCACTAACATATCCAAAGGCTGGGAGTTCCCGGTTGAAAGCTACGGCTCAGAGAGTTAGCAGGAAGCTAACTTACGTGCAGCAGCTTCTCGAGATCAGGATGAAAAGCTGAGACCGCAGATCTAGACCAGACTCGTCTTTCCTGAGCGAAAGCGTGGAGGTTGTCCGCTTATGGATGGACGGAGATCAGCGCTCACATGTGCGCCGGGCTGGCCGCATCACGCATGCGCAGCTGGGGAACGTTGAGGGAAAACATCCTGGAATGTCAGACAATTTGGGAAGACCTCGAATGCATCACCTCACCTCACCACCGCGCCTCCCCGTGGCTACTGTGTGTAATGACAGATGCGCTTGATGCCAACGAGCCTTATGGAGCGAGAACTGTCATAATTCACAAATGCACAGAACTGTGGGGCCCCATGGTTTAATGCTACTGTTGGTCCAAGTGAAAGTCTGAATGTCTTTAACTTCTGTGCATGATGTCATCGGTCCTGTACATTGTGAATCTTTGGCATTTGTGAATTATGAGACAGTTTCAGCTCCATATGATTTCTACCCAATCAGACTTTTAATTTTTCCATATTGCTTAAATACTTAAAGTTATTCTATAATGTAGCTTTAAATTTTTTATAACAAATCAACATATTTTCCTGCTATTTTGTTGTAAACTGTATCAATCAAATTAACGTCAACCTATAAAACAAGCTTCGCCGTGAATCTGCCTCGGGTGACGTCACAGAAGGCAACTGCTCATTGTGCTTGGATTGCAAGCACAATGTGCTTTCCATATTTTTTCACTCTCTATTTGAGTTATGTATTTTTATTTATTTTTCATTTTTGGCACAAGTGGCCATTGTTAAACAGGAGGCAGGCAGGAATCAAACCCTGCACAACCGCGTCGAGGCCTAGTGGTTGTGCTTGCTCTACCATCTGAGCCTCCCAGAACCGCTTACATCATGTTCAAATTCCTCCTTCAAGTGTGTGTAATTGCACTTTGCAGAGCTGCTCTTAAGGTTTTAGAAGAAAGCACTGCATGGATTTTATGAAAAGTTTGGCAACATCACAACTCACGGGAACAGTTTGTGAAGAGGAACAAGCCAGACTGGAATGGACAACATTTAATTACCAAAGATTTTTCTTTCCAAGCCAAGTTGTTATAAATGCCATTTGGTCAGGTTGATGTGTTGCATTAAAATACTTTTCAATTTCCAACGATGCTTCCTGCAGACCTGCTGCATCATCTGCTACTTCTGCTGAAAATTGTTGTCCAGAAGACTTTGACAGGTTTGCAGGGAGGGCTGAATGTCTGCTGCTAATTCCTTATGAAAGGGTTTGTCGCTGCCCTGCATTATAAATGTTATGGTTTTGCCAAAGAATTTCACTTGATCTATCAGAGCCACAAATAATAAAGCAATAACTTTGCATCAAAAAAAGTGTTTGAAATATCAGTGGGCATTTGTTAGAAACAAAACCCACTCTCAAAGTATCTCATTGATAAATCACCTCAGGATTTAGGGATGTTTAGAAACTGGTTATTCTCAGGATGACATTTTTTTTAAGTGAATGAAGTTGGTGTGATCTTATACACCTAAGGGATTGGATATTTGTCCTCATGCAAAATAATGTTCTTAAATCTGAGCCAGCTTCTGAAAAGACCAGAACATCTTTGACAGAAGTGCTGATAGGAGAAAAATAAAAACACCCACAACCGTTAGACGTCAATAGCTGCAGTCTCAGATATATTTAATAAATTAAAGCCAAGGTACAAAAAGACCACTGTACATTTAATTCCTTCCACCCCTCATCCGCCCACAACTCTACACTGCGGTAGACACCGCTCCTTCTCTCACTTTAGACCAAGAGAATAAAGCAAACCAGGGATCAGTGTTGAACAGCAAGACGTTCATTGTACTAATTAGACTGAAGCGAAGCGGCTTGGATCAAAAGTGATTCCTGTCTTGGGTCTCTGTCTTCATCCACTGTTGCCTCCTCCCCAAAAACCCCCTTCCACCCCGAAACACATACATGCTACATGTCTGCAGGCACCTCGGATAAGACAGAAGGATTATACTGAGATAAAAGTTTTATCAGAGATCACAAGGTACGTTTAGATGCCGAGTGCTGCTGATTCACAAAGACAGTTTTAATTTACAGCCGTAGCGTCACAGGCGTAAAGGATGAGCACAGAATGTCGGCGTGAGGAAACTCTCTCCATCGGGCGACGTTACATCGCGGCGCTCGCCTCTCTCTGACACCTTCCCGAACCTCTCCACGGCAGTGACCCAGAGGATTCTGGGTAGCTTGATCGCAAGTGTTTGTTAATAGAAGTGCTCGGTGAGAATGACATAGACGGACGAGTCTGGTTTGACGAGGCGATGAGAGTTCAAGGAGTGTTAGATGGTCCAGGTCAGTCTTTCTGAAAAGAGTTGCCTGAGTGAGCGTGGCTTGAAGGACAAAAAGAGCTTTCTGAATACCAGACGAAAGAAAACAATGCATTTGTACCATAGGTCCAATATAAGTGCACAGAACAAGTGGAGAAAGGGGGGGGGGAAAGGATACATATGTGCAAACCTCTCGTACATACAGAAACGATCACACCCGCACACTCAATTACGCAAGTGTTCAGCAGTAACTGTTAATATGCACAACTCGGATTAATATTTTTGCACAATTACAGTGACTACTTTCAGAAATGCCTAGTTTCCTTCTTAGCAGCTTCCATCATGGCACTGGTTACCGGGATCCGGCTTCCCTCCTGCCATTGTTCTCAGCAGTCCTGCTTTACCTCGCGGTAAAGAGCGAGACTGCAGTAGGACTGGGTAGGATGACACGAACATGAGGTACAGCCCCTAATAAAGAGGGCTTGATGAATTCTTTGACTGTATAAAATCCAAGTATTGTGGTTTTCAGTCTACCTTCCCTACTGACACCCCAGAAAAGGCCTTTTAATAAAAGAAATAGATAAAAAAAAAACAGATCACAAAACAATTAATATAATTTGACAAACGCAGAGATCACAGGGTGAGGCATGAGCTGGAGCAAATATTGGGTTAACTTCCTGCAGAACCCCCCTCCCCATCCCACACCCCTGAACAATGCTCCTTTGTATCCCCTTAGCAGCAGCAGCAGCAGGACTGAAACCACCTATTTGTATTTACATATACATTTATATAATTACCTTGGTTTACTTTGAAAAATAATGTCAAGTAGCTACGTACGATACCACTACCATTTCATATAGATGCTAATTACCAGGAAACAAACCTAGGGAACCACAGGAAGATCTAGAAAGGCAGAACAAGCCAGAGACAGGAGGCGGCGTTAGGCAGCATGCTGGGTGTGCTGCTCAAAATCCTTCCAATGAAATGACCTTTAAAAAGGAGAAAAGAGAGGAGGAAGAGGCAATCAATCTTTTAACAGTGAAAGAATCAATGCAGCAAGGAGGAGGCTCTCTCTGAGGCCTGCTGGGAACTGGAGTTTTGTCCGCTGATCCAACGGCAGCTCTGTGCTGGAACGGGGCTCCGTGTCTTTGTCTTGGGGCTGGATGGATTATCGTTACAATCGTTTCTCGATTTCTTTATGGGCTTGGAGAGAACTTTGTTGCTGTGGCATCTGGGTATTTGCACTGAGGACGAAGGTTACGATTAGCTGGGAGCTCGAGAGGCAGTGCTTCAGTATTCAGCAGCGTACTCTGTGCCGTGCAGACCTCTGCACAGCAGTGTAAACTCTTTCACTATGTCCTTCACTCTTCTCTTGTTTACTCGCTCTCTGCGTTGCAAAAGAGAGAGAGAGAGACAGAGAAAAGAACAAATCACTGGGCGTAGGTAATTTACAATGCTGCCTGACCCTTGGACTTCATCTCATAATCGTGTAAATAACCTTTCAGGTTTGATACCTGAGGATCTGCTGGGAGAAGTTGTCCTTTTGCTCAGTGGTGATGCGTGACGACGGGAAGCCCGGAGGCTGCAGTGCTTCTTTCAGCCACACGGCGAGCAGCGAGAAGCAGTGCTTGTTCAGGCTGAACAACACTTCAGCAAACTGGTCCATCAGACTCCGGGATGCTCCGCCCCCGATGCCCTTCAGAGAAACAAGGAAATACTTCACTACTCTGGACGTACCAACATGTCAATCAGTAATTGATTAAAGTATCAATTATTTGGATACAAAATTGGCACATTCTGCAGATTTTTAATTTAAGCACTTAAGCCTGTTTTATATAAAATTAGCTCTGGATACAACATATGTAAAGACATACATTTTTTGTACAGTTTTTAGCTTAATTACCTCTAAGAATTGTGCTGTTTCTTTAAATGGCATTTTTTAAAAGTCATTATACTCCAGTTAACGCTTATTCGGTGACTAAATTATCTTTTGTCATTTCAGTAATCAACTCTTCATGATGAATCATTTTAGCCCTAGTCAAATACGCACCCTACTTTCTGAATATTTATTTCATAACCATTTAAAAGAGAAAACAAAAATATGCATTATTTTCCATCATTGCTAACAGAGATACAACAGCCCGATGCTGTATAATTAAAGTGAGAAGTAATGCAGCTTCTCACCTCCAGCACAGCTTGGACCAACAGCTTGCCGTCCTCCTGCACCACCCTGGCTAACGGAGGCACGTCCGAGCAGTGCGGCAGCAGTTCAGTCTAGCAGAACCAAACAGTCGTCAAATTTTAGGCATTTGCAATAGTTTTCTGTTCCTGCAGCATGTGTGTGTCCGCGTGCTTACAAAGAACAGACATGTCGACTTGACCGTCGGGGCCTCGGGAAATTTGAGTGACAGGATTCCTGAAGTTGGGAGAGAGGAGACAGGAGCCGCTGAGGACTGATGTCAAATGCAAACAGTTTGTACTGACAGGATCACGGCTGGCTGGAAAGCCAAGCACATCTCTGCACCGGGGCAGGCGCTGCCTGTGAGAGACTCGCGCTCACTTACCACAGTGGAACACCGCTTTCACGTCAAGACTCTCTGACAAGAACAAGTCGGGCTTCCGTTTGAGGGCCTGCGAGGCAGATAAAAGCAGTTCACATTATGTTTCTGCGGGGCCAACCCGTTCGCTACTGCTTCACTACATTCCACTGCATAAGCTCCTTCAAAAGTACAGCTAACAAACAACACCCGCCAAGCCTGGTAGCCGGATCTGATGGCAACAGAGGACCAGATCTGCCTACCAGGCTACAGTGCTCTCTCCATCTGTTTGGGAAGAAATTTATCCAAACTCATCCAGAGATCCTCCAATGCAGAACTGATGCAGATATAACAAACAAATTGCAAAAAATCAAACTTTGAAATCATTTGAAACTTAAGTCAAAACTAAAGGCAATGGTGGGATTTGGCTTTGATTCTTCAAACTCAATTGCATCTTCCTTGTTTTTGGTTGACTGGACAGAATATGCAACAGAAGTGTGTAATAAGTAATTAACATGTGCAGATAAAGAGAAAGACAACTCATCTCATAATAATGAACTTATTCAGGATGGAGGAGAGGAGAGAGGGAGAGAGGGAGAGGGAGAAAAGGTCAGATCTATCCAAAGATAGAAAACAAAGGAAGAATGAAGACAAAAGACAAAATATAAAAACGAGAGAGCCATCAGCCAATTTGTTGGAGCAGATTAATATTAGCTGAATATTAATTCATTTAGGCGTTGATTGGCTCTGGGCTGGAATGACTGAGGAGGACTGGGCTCAGAGACTATCCAGTCACCAGGACTATGAAATACGACTTGATGTCTTTAAAAACCTAACGTGTAACAATCCAGATTGGCTGTTTTAAATCGCATATTTTTCATGCTAAATATTTGTCTAATTTTATTCAAGGAATGTAACGAAAGGATTTCTAAATTCTGAATTATTTAAAAATGCAGTCAACTTTTCAGTCGTACCACATCTTACTGTTCAAAGACCTTTAAATGTTTCAGGCAAAAACTTTATTCTGAAAGGACAGAATAATGTAGAGCTGCCCCTACCCCACCTGTTGCTTAACACTGATGGTCAGCTGGCTGAAAGAGGCTGAATTAAGTGTCCTTTGCTTACATAAACACACATTTAACAGTTTTGGAAAAGTTTCCAGTCAAGGAAAACACATATTTTTATGTCAGTACCATGATGCGACCAATAAATTAGTATTTAACTGGGAAGATAATTAATTTCAGTTATTAAATTTGTATAAGTTTACCTCACGTTATTTTGAATAATTCCTCAATAAGTCAGATATTTCTAGCGTTTATTTCTGTTAAGTTTGGTCATTGGCCTTGCAGCTAATGAAAACCCAAAATTCAGTTTCTTGGAAAATGTACAAAGAAAGAAAAACAACAAAAATGAGCTTTAATTATGAAATATTTCTATATAAGATAATAATAATTAAAAAAATGGAGAAGCTAAGTAGACAGTTGTCAAGCAGACAGCTACTGACATTCTCCATAAGATGGACAAGCTACAGCAGGTTGCTGCTGAGGAAGGTGCTTGTTCACACCTTGGTCAGCATTTTCATGGGAAGACAAGTGGAAGTCTGGTGAAATAAAGCTCATAATTCCTTAGCTTGGATCCTCCACACAAACATTCAGTTGAGCAATAAATTATTCACACCCCGAGAAAATTAATGTAGACTAAAGTAATCTTTCAATTTTACCAACATGTGTCTTTTAACTGAATGCATTCTGGACATTTTAGGTCCAAAGTTTCAAACTGTTGTTTGTATTACTCAGATTTTTGTGAGAAACTGAATTTTGTTCATCGCAGCCATTGCAATTTATCGGCAAAATTAACAGAAATAAAAAAACTCTGTGTGTTTAAATCTATGTATCCACACAGAATTAAATTTTTGAACTGAATCCATTATATTTCAGTTTACTGAAAAACACTTGTATTTTACATCTAGCTTAAACCATCACAATCTAAAGCAACGTATACAGACTAAGAGAGCAACCTGCATCCATTAGTAGTTTCTGCAGGTAAAGCTCACTCTCAACATGAACAGAGATTTGTGTTTGAGTGGTGAGGCGACTGTTCCGAGTCTAAAAGGATTCGAGGAGAGACAAATGTCCCTTTTGCGAACAGTTCCCTCGGGTGTTTCATTCCACTGCCTCGCCTTTGTGATGAGACACCTTAAGGCCCAGTAACAAAACACAGCGAGAGCTACAGAGAGGAAGAGAGGAAGAAAGAAAAACAGCTAGAAGTGAGAGAGAGAAGGAAAGAAAGGGAGAGAAACCCAAAGTGAATGAAATAAGAAACCAAAAAACACACCTGAGCTTGGAGTTGCATAAATGAATCAACAATATCAGGATGATCCCTGGGTCCTATAATATAATAAAGATGAAACTTAAGAAATCATAAGAGAGAATAAGAATAATATACAAACAGCAACTTAATAGATTCAACAGTCATGTGGAAATAAAAAAAAGAACCAAAAAATATTTCATTGAAATAATTTACATGTGAGTAAGGAACAGAGGGGGCGATAGGAGGGGGTGGGGGGGGCATATGAAGCTTTGGCAGAGTCTTGGAAGAAGAGACCAACCAAAAACAAATAACAGGCAGAAGACAAACACATGGGTCTGCTTGGAGGGAAACCAAAAGAGAAGAAGTAACGAGAGAAAAGGAAGAAACCTAAGAAGCAAAGGTGGGTTTGGAGTGGGAACCCAGAAGGCACCTCTGTTACAGCGTCAGGACAAGGAAGAAGGGATACCGAACCTGGACACACCCTCCTTCCCATAATGCACCAGCAGCAGCAGCAGCATTGTGATCAAATTAAAAGCAACACATTTCCTCCAAAGATCCCTTTGGCTTTTAAACTGAACCTTCTGCCCTCTATTCAATAAAACACTCAAATCTGCTATTACCTCCATGGTGTTGGACACAAACTACCAGACTTTGATGTGTGTCATTTAAAAAAATTACAATTTACATTAGGAAAAAATCTTCTTGAGCCAAAAATTCCTAATTTCAGCCCTCATTCACATCACACAAACTTTAGAGATGATACAGCACCCTCCATAATTATTGGTACCCTGGAAGAGATGTTGAAGAGGCCTAAAATTTGATATGTTAATGCAGTGACATAAGCTCACTCTGAAAACTTCCATAAAAATGGCTTTTTTGCTATTTGAGTGGATTTGTTCCATGAAAGGCAATAAAATTAGGAGTTCTAAATTCTTCAATGTGAAATGATGTAGCTGCAAAAAAAAATGAATGTACTGTAGGAATTTTCAACATCTTTTCCTGGCATGTCAGTGATTTAGAAGATTTTTGCACAGGGCTTATTCAGAGAGCCTCTTGTCCAAGAACAGGCGTGGCAGCGGACATGTTCCCTGCTGGCCTGCTGAATAAGCCACTGGCCCCCTGCTCTGGGACTGCACTCTGTTTTAATATTATTGTGTACTGCAGGAACCTGCTCAGAGGGTAAAACAAAAACAAAACAAAAAAAATCACTTAAAATGCAGGAGAGGCAGCCATTACTTAACCAGTGAAAGCAAGAGAACAGGGGAGAAAAGGGACTACACAGAGCAGAGGCGCCAGCCACACCTGATACAAATAGTCCAGAAAATTTTAGAAAAAGAAAAAAAGGATCAACCTCTTGATCCCTAAATGACATTCATTAAAAATAAAAATAAAAAACACAAAAGCATTTGAAAGACCTGGCCTTAATCAATCTGTAAATATAAAAATAAATGACAAATGCAAAATTAAGCAGAGATTAGACAAACAGAAAACGTGATAACATGTTGACTTCATGTGTTTACAGCAAATCATAAGTCGAAAAATGATTTACACAACAGTAAGGGCAAAAAAAGGTCTGCATTGATGAAATCTTCCTTGTAGGCTTGAATTTAATGCTCACAGGTAGAGGAAAAGTCGTGCTCGAAAGTTGCTGCGAGGGATGTTTGCACTTTTTTCCTTAATGATGTTTAGTTTGGCTGCTATTAGTAATTTCAATTATGTTGTCCCAAATTGCAGAAAATCTATTAAAGCTGGGAAAGGCATGGACACATTGATGCAAAACATATGGCCGCTGAATATCTTTCTGGTTCTACATTTACACCCATGAGCCAACGGTGAACAGTAGGCTGGCTTTTGAGTAAGTGACAAAAAAAGTTAAGTCTACTGACATTTATGTGTGTGAGGAGATTCATCGACTAAAACAGACAATATGTTTTCTTTTTAATGGAATCAAACACCACATTTTGAAAGAGTGAAAAGCTGATAAGGTTTATGTTTGCAGTCTGTAATGTAGTGACGAGTCAGGCATTTCTGGCAGATGAATGTTGATTATTTATGCTTTGGCTAAATTTAAATGGCCTCCTAGTTCCTCTGCTTTCAGACATTAGCAACTTTAAGACATCACCCACTTAAACAAATCATACTGATTATCACTAAAAACACCAAGAGGACAGAAAACACTGCAGTTCCTCAAGGCAAACATTAAAAAGTCCAACTTTTGTTACCATATTTTGAATACGGATAACTTTAATGAGAAATTTCTCTTATGACAAACACAAACAAATTTATGTTTTATTAATAAATTTGTCCTGATCTGAACATCCATCCTTCACCTGAACAGAAACTGTTTAAGAGTCTTGAACCTCCCACCGCTGCTGGACCCCTACCTTGCTGGAAGACGGACAGTGTTACCGAGGTAACCAGCTCAAACAGAGCCTTGATTGGTGGGAAGTGGTCTGTCTCGCTGGCGAAGATATGCACCATCTGAAATGAGCAATTCAGCAAGTCAGACGGCAGCCAAAACAAAAAATGTAAGGCTGCAGGTTTCCACACATTAAACCATCCAGATCACTTTCACACCCACCTTTTACGTATCAATAAATTTACTGATAAAGGTTTCCAGTTAGAGTCTGAAGCAGGAATCTATGGATTTTTTTTTTTTATTTTAGTCCAAGAACAAAAGCAAAATCTTATGATGCATGACAAAGGGAATGAGCAGCAAATGGTGTTCTCTTAAAAGCTACATAGGAGTGAAACGGACTGATTAATTGAAGAACATTGAGACTTTCAGCTTCTTCTGTTCACTTCTGCTATGCTTAACACAACTGCTGGACCTGTGACCAGTATGCTCTTCTGAACCGCAGTTGTACAAAATCTTCCAGAATTTTAGTTCTCGAAGTTATTATTTTGCTCCAAATGCCCATTGTCCACTGAGACGAAGCACCCACAAGCTTTAATAGACATACTAGAATTAAATCTGACATATCCATTGCCTTAATCTTTAAACGTAACAATAGGTCTCATACCAACAAAAATAGCTGCCAATGCTGTGTGACTAATGTGAGCCATTTCTTACTCAGAAGAAGACAAATGTCAAATGAAATTAGTTGTACTAAATATTCCACTTTTTGACCTCTTTGATGAACATCAATCAGAACGATTTTTACAACACTTAACGCATAACAACAATTTCATTTGTAGTTATGAATCACACTCAAGATGTTTTACAAACGAAATAATTTTTCACTAGTGGGCAGCTTTTTGGCTCACAATTTCTTTTCTAAACTCTCTTGATGCGACTGGAAGTTTGTGCTTTTTGTCTTTGAGTCAACTGAATACCTGTCGTGTCAGGTCAAGGGCTGATGCTTGGGGAATTGTACTGTACATCTGGCCAAGCATCTCGCTTAGCTGAGACACCATGGGGGCAAAGTCGTGCAGGAGGGTCTTCACAGATTTCTCGAAGATGGCACACACCGCCTGTGAAACATCGAAGACTGAGATGTGTGGGCCGCAGACACAGAGAGGTGACTGGATTTGGCTCGGCGTGTCGACGTACCTCCACGACCTGCGAGTCATTCAGCCATTTGCTCAGAACCTTTTGTATGAGGGCAAAAACCTGCTGCAAGACGACCACCACCTAAAAACACAGGAAACAATGTGGAGAGAACACAATCACTGAAAAAGTAAAGAAAAATGGTAACTAACAGGAAAACAGCCTCTAACATTTGTACTAAACAGGTCAGCAGCAGAATTACAATGACTGAAGTTGATGTTTTAGGGAAAGAAAGTCACATTGTACCAAGAGTTATGTGGCTTTTAAATCTCCAATACTGTCATGCACCTTTGAGTGATGCATTCACTATGTCATCAGCCATCTTTACACTCAGTTTGTCAGTGACTGTCCTCCTAAACTACCCATCACTAACTATGAGTCTGGTCATGGTATGCAGTGACAGACCGGATTTGGTCCTGGAGGAGGTGGGGTTGCTTTGACAGGTGGCGCAGAGCCGTCAGCCGACTCATCGTCCTGCTTGCTGATGTCGAGCGTAGTGAACAGGTTGGACAGCAGCCCCAGGATGTGAATGATTGCCAGCTTATTGGAGGGATTAGGCTAGAGGGAAAAAAAGACAGAAGAGAAAGACAATTTAACGCCAACAAAGATTTTTCTTGCACTCGTTCCAGTGTCAGTGAAAAAGATTGTAGGAATAAGAGTTATCTGTTTTTACAATATAAAGAAACATTTTGCTAAGAGGAAGAATGGAATAATTACATTTATATAATTCAGCTTTAAGAAATTAGCACCTTAAATTATTATTTTTTTAATTAAATCCTATGTAAATCAGTCAGCGTTATAGTGTTCATGCTTTTATTTAAAAATGAAGAAGAGCAAATTGGTACAACATAAAATGAGAAAAAAACACATTTTATGTTAAAAGTTAAAAAGTAACTTATCGTCCCACAGTTCAGTGTTTTTGAAAAGTTAGAGGAAAGAAGAAGGAGGAGGCTCTGTGTCCACCATGGCTCTGTTGAAAGACAAGCAACACAGCTGCCACATTTTCTTTTCAGTGTGTTAACATCTGTGATCAAGCTCTGATCTATGAAATTTCCTCTGTGGACACTCAGTCTGGGCATCATCACAGCAACTTGTGTGTGCAGCTCGGCAGCTTGTCAGCAATAAAACATTAAAACAACGCAGTCAATAAATGCTCATTTTAATACGGAGACGGTTCATATTTAAGTGCACTTGATGCTAAAAATGTTCAGTTTGTAGAATAAACTGTCACATATTCTGCCAACGTTCAACAGACTGAGCAGCAAACAAAACTTGGAGTACATCTCCTAACCTATGTGGCTGTTCAGATGCATGATGGGATTAGAGAGTCATACGGTTAGAATCCATAAAAATAAAATCTTATGAGCCAAAATAAAACTGTAAAGCAGCAGGGTCAAATAACAGACCTTGAGCTTTACGTGTCGGCCTATTTCTAACAGACTGCCGAACAATCACAGCTTGAACAGGGCTAAATCAGTGTCTCCATGGAGACGTAACACAGCCAACAATCAGAATAACAACACAGCTGCCACACCCACTGACTATAACACCTCCTAGTATTTTTCTAATGCCTCGCTGTATGACGGTCTGTCTAGGAAATTAGAATTATGTGATCTTATTGAGCTTGGTGACTCATCCAAGTGAATCAATCGTTTTCCTTTTTAGGTCAACGCCTTCAGACGTTGTGCTCTTTTACCCTTGACGTAATGGAAGCCGAAGGTCTCCCCACTAGGTGCCAGTATTTGTCCGGCTCCAGACAGACACAGCACCTGACTGCTTCAGCTGACGTAATGTCATGACAACATGAAGCTCAGTAAAGACAATATGAAGGGGAGAAAGTTAGGATGGATCAGACAGCGTGTTATTAAGAACAAAGAAATAAAACCACCTATAGCCCAAAGAGACTTCAGAAGAAAATCTTTTACACAAAAGGCAAATAAACTAATTTTAGATGCATATAGCTCCTTATTTTACAATCCAGCATGATTGTTTCTAATATCTAAAGATATTCAAGTTGATTCTAATTCCATTTCTGAACGACTGCATATTGCACGCAAAAAGGCCTGACCTACTGTAAATGCGTTTCTGGGAATGTTTTAATTAATACATTTATTTCATTCAAGACTCAGTGCTTGCATGAGTCAGAGAAAGTATGTCTTTGGTGATCCAACATGAGTCACTTGCCAATGGTGCAGGGTCAAACCCAATCTGGTCCTGCAGCGAGTCGCTCCACTGCAGTGACACCACGCAGGCACAAAGCCTGTCCCTTTTGGCCAGAGTCCATCTGTGCATGCTGTGTCTCTGTGTGTGCAAACGTGTGTGTGTGTGTGTGTGTGTTAGTGTGTGTGTGTTGTTTTGGATTGGGTGTGAACTGACCGTCTCATCAGCTAGCTTCTCTAGCTGCTGAATGTAGGGGGTGATGAGGGAATGAAGGTTTCTCAAGATGTCTTCCACAGGCAGAGCGGAAAGCAGGAATCCCAGAGCCTGCATCAGCCACATGCACTGACTGGTCTGTGTGAAGAGACCGTTTATGCAAACAATAAGCTTTCAGACAACAATATGTTGACAATAAAAACTGCAAACATGTTTTAGAGAGCAGAGTCTTTCACAGTATTTGAAGTTTAAATGCCTGTGAAATGCACACAAAAAACAGAGATACAAACCTTGTGGATCTGTTTTATAAGCACCTCCTTCAGGGACAAAGAGAGACAAAAAGAGACAAAAAGAGCGAGAGCTCTATTATTCAATAGAAAGAAACAAAAAGCTGCTTTAAACAAAAAACAACTGGAACTATTTTTAAGCTCAACTGATGTTATTTCTGGAATATAAAAACACTTTGAAGAAGACGTAGTGTAATCACAGATGCACCAGTCAGAATATTGTGACAAATCTCAGCTTTTATGTCAAACTTTGAACTGCTGGCACTAATTTTGGCAGACTAAAAACCTAAAGAGCTACAGTCATAATACATCAGAAGATTGGGTCTGAGGAGGCTCATTGGTCAGAGTAAAATTACCTTTAATAATAACTTCTAATCATGGATTATTTTTCATCACGACCACATGTCTGTATAAAATGTTTTTATTGATCTGATTTAATATTTCAATATTAAATGTCATAATTAACAATAAAGGATTGAAAACATTGGTTGTGAGTGTAATTAATCTATATAATGTGCTTCACTTAGTGAGTTGAGCAAATCTCTCAATAATATTCAAATTTTCTGAGCATGACTGATTATCATTAATGACATAAAGCAGATTATTCTGCCATGATGATCTCAAATAATCTCAATAGAAGATCAGATCAGATATCGCATGAGTCTGCGCCTGCTGTAAAGCAAAAGCAAAATTGCAACAAAGTTCAAATTTTGAACTTTCTTTAGCATTTTCTAACAGAGATTAACACTACAGAGTTATTTCCCTAGAGGTTTAAAACTCAAAAGTTTACAACATAGCAACTTTATTGTTGTGCATTTAGCCTTTGTTATCTGCAGAAGTCTTGCTCTCTCTTTTTCTCTCTCTCTCACTCGCAGCCTTAATGAAACAGGACATGTTGTAGAAAATGCTTTTACGTAAAGGCTTCTTACATCGCTTTTTAACAATTCACTGATACTGAAAACAAATAACTGAGTCTTCTCCCGTTAGTAATGTGTTACTAGCCCTTCTTATCAACTTCAACAAATCGTGGGTCAGTTTTCGACTGACCAGTCAGCTCCAATTGAGCTGAAAGTCATCAGTTTCTAGACACCATTTACTTCATCTGGCCAACATTTCAAGGCAGAAAATAAAACTGCATGTAAATGTCCACTCACCTGAGAAACTGCTACGATGTTGGTTGCGTAGGCTGGCAGGTCATATTTGCATTCCCTGCAGATTTTTTTTAAGGTTGAAACAGACGATATGGAAAGGTCTGGATTTCCTAATGCTTGTAAAACCAAAGGCAGGACACTGCTGAGCATCACTGGGTGGTCCGCTAACCATTCAGCCAGAGCGCCTACAGAGACAATGAATTCATTTTTCAGACAGGAAAAAATAATATTTATTTTTGTCTTGACATCTGTCGCCTTACCTATTGTGAACATGACCGTGTCGGCTAACTGGACATTGTTGATGCTGATTCGAGGGATGAGCCCTATCAAGCCTGGGATGACGTCAGAATAGTTCACATCTATTGTTTCTGCTATGGACTGGAAGCCATACAGCAAAGCTTCTGTGTGCTAAAGGAGATTAATATACATTTTATAGGGAAAGAAAAAGAAAAATATTCTTTACTTTGGGTCATTATGCATATTTTTGTCAAATTTTTTTCCAAAGCTAATACTTCTTTCAGCAGGAAACGGCTTACACTCCTTCTTTTTAACATTGCTAATCCATCTCACTCACCTGCCATGATGTAGGCTGCTCTGTATTCGTCAATAGCCTCCCTAGTTTATCATACAGGTTACTCAGCAGCTCTGCTCCCAGCATCTCATACACATACATGAGTGTGTCTGAGATGTCCACCCTAAAGGACAGAGGAGAGCAGACAGACATTTCAGGCGAGTTGCAGTCTTGAAATCCTATCTGTTAAATATGTGTCAGACAGGTTATGCCCCCCACATCCCTCTCCTAGCCACCAGTGCGTTTAGAGTCCATTAGGGAGAGAGAGAGAGACAGTCATTTGCTGACCAATCATCCAGTCAGTGAGTAATTTCAGACAGAGATGAATCAGGAATACGAATGGGGGGAAAAAGCACAAGTATATGCACCTGTAAATCCTGAACTGCTCCTTCTCATCCGAGGACCAGGATGCATATTCCTGGTCCGAGGGGAACTGGGCTTTATGAAGCAGCACATCCACCAACTGGAAATACACTGGCCTGTAGACCTGGAGGTACACTGCCTGCTTATCTGACTCAAAGGACATGATTTCATCCTGAGAAAAAAAGTAAAGCCGGTATTTTTATGTTTGAAACGACAAGGGTATTTAAAAGAACAAATGCAACAATCTTAGTTTGCTCAAAGTTTATTGCACTATGGCCTAGTCCTAGCCAGATATCTGGGAATACAAATACATTTTTATGCATTTTGGCCTTTCATTAACATGAAAACTCCTTAATAACACTAAAAAGTGGAGATTTTCAAAAACTGTCTGTGTTTTATAACAAAAAATTAAGGTTATTATACTCTGAGACAAATAATGTGTCAATATATCCATATATTTGCTTTGACATGATTCCCAATGGACATCGTTTTGTGTTTTGTAAACTTTATATCCTGAAAGTAATTCAACTTATCTTTCTCCACACAAATGAACCGTCTGCTTACAGATTTAATTTCTAAGAAATTGTGGTTGTTTTGAACCAATCTGGCTAACAAAGGTTTTAGCTTTGTGCCACACTACCAACGTACCATGTAAGGTCAAATGAAAGGACAAATGAAAGATATTTCAAAAGAAGGACCAAAGTAGAAGTAGTTAAATGTTCAAATACCATCATTCAAAGCTGTTCTTACCTGTAGTGTGTACCAGAAGGTGAGCGTAAGGGAGCTAGTGGTCTCGTTGACTGGATAGTGGCCGGGGATGCCTGTACAAAACATGATCATGTTGACTAAAGCCAGGAAGCTCTGCCAGTGATCCACCTGCTCCAACAGAGTCCTGCAGGCACCAAGACGAGGCGACGGCACAAAGCAAGCAATAAATGGGAGTTAGACATAGTGAAACACAATCACAGGATCAGTTAAGGACTTTTTTTAATATCAATATCATAACATCTGCTGAAACACAGACACACCTAGAGTGGTTCTCTCCCAGAGTCACAGCGATCCGGCAGACCCCATGGCAGGTCTCCATGTCTCCGTTCTGCACAGCCTCCCTCAGCTGATCCTGGAGGGCCAACACTCGAGGAACCAGCTTCAGTAATGTGTTCACATATCTACAAACCATGAACAAAAGCTCTGAATATTTTCTGTGTCAAGACCTGAATCCATTCAGTACTACTATTTTAAAATAATTTAATATACAGCAGGTAAAACACAGCAAGCAAAAAGAGGAAATATTTAAAAACTAACACACTCTCTTCATGGTTGGCTTCACGGATTTATATTTTGTTCCCCCAAGACAAACATTTTTTTCTAATCTTATTTCAGTCCAAGTCGGTCCAACCTCTGATCTCTGATCCAGCACACCCACCAAAAAGATCCCACATTTCTACCAGGGAACCAGAAAATCTATTCAAAGCCTCTTCATGGAGCTACACCACTGTCAGTAATAATCATGTCTACTAGCTGCTGTCTCAGCTGTTTACAATTCCCCTCACTCTGGAGAAATCACACACACACTGACAGTTACACACACCCAGCTCCTCATCTGCACATGACATCTTTAAACATCATTCCTCCTGTCATCATCGCTGACAGCGAGGGTGGGAGAGACTTTTGGAGATGAAGGACAGAGTATGTGTTCCCTGAATGTCACATAGAGGATTGTGTGTAAGCAATATAACGCCTCCCCGGGGGTTTGTGATATTGTGGTTCAACTTTCAGAAGAACGGCAATAAGGGTTTTGGTCAAATCTGATGAATATTTATCAATGTCGCATAAAGGTTGTTGGGATTTTGGAAGCATTTAAACCGACTAACAATGTCGAAAAGCATAAGAACGCCCATACCGAGAGCTGCAGCAACTATTTTCTTGAGACAGAACCAAATATTCCTCAAAATCATTTTCTACGTTTTTTCCATTGTTGAATTCCTTAAAGTCAAAAATTCCAAAATACTTTGTGATTGTTTTTTGTCAATCTTTAGTATTTCCTCAGAAGTCGTGGTCTGAACATGGAAATGTTAAAGGCCACCAGATGGACGGATGAATAGAGAATTGGCAAACATATTGATGAATGCATAAATAAAAGGATTTACAGATGGATGGACAGAGCAATAGATAGACAAACAGACAAATAAATCAATGGATACACATGAACAAGGACGGATAACCTGAAGGACCAATTGACGAATACAGTAGGTGGATCCATGCCTGCATGTATGAATGGATGTTAATCACCTAGATGGACAAATGAATGGATGGAATGATTCAGACAAAAAGAAATAAAGTCAGGAAGAATTAACCTTTCCTCATAATCAACTTTGTTTTTGTTCACTTCTCCATATTTAAACTGAAAGCTATAACGCATTGTAGCGAACACTTAGCTTGTGTAATAGCCATTCAAACCACAAACTGGCATTGAGGCATATTATTAGAATATTTTAGTAATATCTTACTAATTATTCTGATGATTATCATAACTAGATTAAAAAATAATAATGAAATCTGCACATTTTGCAGAGTTTTCATTAACCACTTAAGTTCATTTTATGCAACATTAAATATATATATAAAAATCCAAATGAACAAATTATTCAATTCATTTTTAGAAAAGAAAATAAACATTTTATTGCCTAAAACGCAATGCCAGCTAAGCATTCCTTTGGTGAATGCTTAATCATTTGTAGAAAAGAATCTGTCTGCAGCCAAAGCATATTTATATTTATATTTAATGCAAAATTAGCATAATTCCTAATGAAGTTTTGGCTTAGCTATTGCTCTGAGGTTGTTCTCTCAGCAAATGGCCTTTTCAGAGTGTATACTCCAACTAACAATTATTCCATTAAATAAACACTAATCTCACAATACAATACACTATAATCTGCTCACAATATGATATATACAGCAATATTCAGCAAACAATACATTGAACAAAGGATCAGCTGTTTATTGAAGAGTAAGATGAGAAGGAAAAAAATGTGTTAAAAAGAAAGAAGAAATTGAAATTATATGAAAACGCTCCTCTCATGTTAAAGTCACTAATTTCACTCCAGACCTTTAAAGAGCTGAGAAATCTTTCATATGGCTTCATAAGTCTCATATAAAGCAAATCCTTAAATCAGCAGTGCAGGATGAATGAGCCTCTGTTGAAATGTGGTCAAGATAAAAAACAAAATTAAAACAGCCAAACTTGTGTAACTACTGGACTATACTCTGTGTTTGACCAACTTTAGGAGCGTTGCCAGGAATAGCTCTCATCTTCACTGTCTGAGTGATTGCGTGTGTGTGTGTGCGTGCGTGCATGCATGCATTCACACACTCAAAAGATCATTTATTTTTAATAAGGTGCCTTTCAGACAGAGGTCATGAACTCTCAGTGCAGAAGGAGTGTTTGATGTGTATGGAGGAGGAATGAACAGCCCAGAATGGATCTGTTTGCATTTATCAATTTCAGCTCAAAAAAAAAAAAAAAGAAACTGATAACATTCAAGAGATTCCTCTGAGACCATCTGCTGCAGACGCACCTCCGCTAACTCTTCATTTCCTTTTGTTGCTTCCGTCCAGCTGTTTCATACAGACTCCTCCTTTAATGCCTCCTTCTCCCTCCCACCCCCCTTCCCTTTGTCCCTCTGTTCCCCTCTGCAATTACCGCAACGCTCTGAGACAAGGGAAACGGGTTGCCTGGCAACAGGATGCAGCTGGACCAATAGCATTCCCCCAAATGAGTTGACTGTAATGTGTTTAAACAGAGAAAGAGAACAAGAGACAGGAAGGAGGGCTTAGCGCTGATGGTGAGAGATGCGAGGGAAAGAGTAGAGAGAAGCGGCCAAATAGGGAGAGAAAATGAAACACAATGCCAGGAGTATGGAGGATGGAAGATGATGAGCTTTGACATCCTTTGTAAAGATGGCAGGGGAAAACAAAGTCTTGTAACTCATTCAGTACATTAATCTGTTTCCATTAATCGTGGATGCTCCATACTGTACTGCTGAGCAAGAACAGTTGACAACTTTTACAAGTCGAAAGAGCAACGACAGTCATCCTGCATTCTGGCTGCAACTTATGAGGCATCAATGTGCCGGACCATCTGTTTGACAAGATGCCATTGTGTTCAAAGTGACCGGCCAGCAGCAGCAGCAGCCAGAAGCAGCACCCACTCTGAGGCGGGAGAATGAAACCGTATATTCCTGGGCAGCTTCACACCTTCCCCCAGTCTTCTGCCTTCACACAGCTTCCTCTCTTTTTCTCTTAGCTCAGTTCCCCCCTCACCGCCCCCTGCCCGCTCTGTCTCTAGGGAAGGGGTAATGGGTGCCTGCCATGTCTGAATCAACCAGGGCATGATGACATCTCTCCCCCAGATCTGTAACCATAGTAACACCATCCAACCGAGATATGCTGCTTTCCTCCTCTCGGCTGTGAGCTTGCCCTGTACCAGTCGCTTTCTTCCTTTCATCCATCCATTGCTCCCTGGTACTTCCCAGTACCGACCCAGACAATTTTTTTTTGTCCTCCACATATTGTATCTTCATTCGACTCCAGTAATAATTCAAGTGTAATTTCTCTTCTTACGACCACAATATTTAGCGAAAACAGGCAACGAAATGACAAGCAAACCTTTGGGAATCAGGTTGAGAAATGGCGTTGACTATGGCCTCTACTGCCGTGTCGAAGAGCTCTGGGTCGGACAGGGCGCTGAAGCAGTCGTGCACCAGTCCTTCGCTCTCGTTGAGGGGCACGTCCAGCAGCACCCATGACGACAGGCAGCGCAGCACACGGGCTTTAACCGCCCCGGGGCTATCGGATCGCCGCAGCAGTTGTTGCAGTAAGGGGCAGACAGATCCCCACTCCCGGCCCAGGGCTCCCCGGACCTGAACATGCAGCAAATGACAGATTGAGCATCACTTCATGTACCTTGGAGGTGTTCCAGATGTTTCAAATTACGATCCATTTCAAGTGCTTATGTCTGCTAAGTTTGATGAGTCTAGCATAATTCAGTTTCTGAGAAGATCGGATTACTGGTACATAATATGAATGGAAAGGATTTTCATATTGAAATATCAGCAAACAGAGAGCCATGTCCATGTACTTGCTCTCAATACTTGGTTGTGATCCTGTTGCTTGTGCACCTTTTTTTGGCCATACCTTTTCCTTCCACTGAACCTGCAATATATATGCTACCTCTGGAACTAATGATTACTTTAATAATCGATTATTGTATAGAATATTCTGACGATTAATTGGATTTAAAAAATGTGAACATTCTACAGATTTTTCATTTAACCACTCAAGGTTATTTTATACAATGTCAGAAATACCTTAAAATTTGAAATTAAACAAATAATTAAATTCCTTTTTTGAATCAAACATTTTCTTTCCTAATCCTATAGTGGATTTGATCTGGAAGAAGCTAAAACTATGCTACAGGAGTTTTGGCTAAGACATATTTACAGACAAAGGTGCTTTTCTATTAAATGCAAAATGTAAATATGTTTTGTTCAATTTTGGCTTAATGCCCTGTATATCTTATTCTTTGTGGCAATTTTTAAGAGTCTGACACTCTAGTTGATGATTATTCAATTACTAAATTAGTTGACAATTACTACAACAGTTGAGTCATAAAGGAAAATCTGATTAATCATTAGTTCTAAAATATATATATATATGTGTACAATACATACTAACCTTACTGCCTTTTTTTGTCAAATATGTTATTTTTCCACCTACTATAATTTCTTTAAATAATCAAATCCGTGTTCATAACAGTAAATACAGAGTTTATTTAGTTTTAGCTTTTGTGAACACAGTGGTCTGGGAAGCATCAATAAGTCAGAAAACCAGAAACAGCAAACAGCTGGAGCTGGCCCGGGCGGACCTTACCTGTCCCTTTCGGTACTGCGGCAGGCGGCTGGTCTGGAACTCCTCGGGCAGCACAGTGAGCAGCTCCAGCAAAGCCAGGCAGCGTGCCCGGCCGTCCACCCCTCCCCCCTCCTCCTGAAACACCCGGACCATTTCCGCCACGGCGCCGGGCCAGGCCTCTGGCATTGTGTTGAGCGCCAAAGAGGCCAGCGCCACGCACAGCCGGGTGAGAACCATCTTGGAGCCGGAGGAGAAGCAAGCTATCTGGGAGAACAACTGGCTCTTCAGGGACTCGTACTGGTCTGTGGGGATGTCTGACCAGTACCTGGAGATTTTGGTGTGAAGTGCGCTGGCCCCAAAGTACTGAATCTCAGGCACCTGTGAGAGAAAACGCATAGAAGTTAACAAAACCTTTCAACTCCTTCTATGTAAGATAGTTATTATTATTTACTTTTTGAGGATCATGTACCTTATCCGGGCTAAGTAGGGCCCAGCAAAACTGCCAGGCCTGAGGTGAAACTTGAGCTTGCATCAGCCATTTCTGGGCCAAATTCTTGTTCTCGATATTTGGATCATAATACAACTGATGGAGAGCCTAGAAATAAAAAGGAAGATAACACAGCAGTTTGATGAATCCAGAATGAGAGTTGAATCATCCTTAAGTTATTGTAATAAAGATCATAAAACACACGACAGAGGCCAGTTAATGATATATCAAGAATTTACTGAGCAACAGATTCAAAACTGCTGAAATTATGCAGGTCCTACAGCCTCAATATGGATGGTCATTTATAATATGCTCAAACTTTGATAACTAGTTTCAGTGAATCATGTCATTTATGTAAAATAAAATCTGCAGTAATTTCTTTTATTTTAACAAAAAATCAACATAAAAATCAAAATGATTGTTTAATAGTAGGACGGCACAAATGTAAAAATAAAAAACAGTCACTTCTGCAGATTGCCTGACTAATTAATCAACTCATCTCAGCTCATTAAACTAGTTTGATTCTGAAGAGAAATACTATTCTGCACTTTAAGCTCCTCAAAAATATTTGCATGTGTTTTATTCTTTTTGTTTTGTTTTTTGTTAAAGTCTGTGCATTTAAAATATCAAATAAGTGATTAACACAAAATTGTGTCAATTATTTTAGCAGTTGCAGAAATCATTGTCAGTTTTCGAATTAAAAGAGAGGAAATTAGATCATGTTTAAAATTTCTGTGTTAATGCCAATGAAACCAGAATATTCTTCCTCAAGGTGATCATACAATGAGAATCTGAAAACGTTGGGTGTCTGGGAAAATAAGCCAGCTAACAAAGACAAAGCAAAAGAAAAAGAAACAGAGAAAAACAGTCCACCTTACTGTCAGAGAGAGAGAGGTTACTTTGGAGTACAAACACAAACACACAGTAGACACATTACCCCAAAAACCTGAGCAGAGTAGAATGCAACGAACTGAAAACAGCCCTCTTTAAAGCACAGCTTCGAGTTATTTGAGCACTTGAGTGCAACGAAGACAAAGAAAAGGGAGAGGCGAAGAAAAATGTATGAAAGAGAAGCAAGTACGAGACGGACACAAAGAAGATGATTAATTGGCATTGATTAGACAGACGATTCTAATTCTGGCATTGCTGGAATAATGATTTTGAAAAATGTCAGCTTCTCTCTCACATTTTGTCAAACACACTTACACAAATACACACGGCCAGTCCAGAGTAAACTGCCTTACAAAGAACATGGAGGGGGGAAAAAATTCATTCTGAGAGCTTCTGATCTTGAATTTTTACCCCTGCAGTCTTGTCACATCAAATCCTCCACCAACGATCTTTCGATCTCCATTTCATCCATCCAGCTGCCACCCTAAAGCCAACACTCTGCATTCATTTTCATCCCAGCCCTCTGGCATTCAATACCAAACATCTCGCAAAAAGTAAGGAAAAAAAAAAACATACAATAAAAAACTAAAAATGATTCTTTGTCAAGCAAGATCAGAGTCAGACAAAAACATTTTGTAGCTGCAAGGAGGTACATCAAACCAACGTCAATGCCAACTGGAAGCAGAGTATCAGATAGCAATCCCTCAGTCTGCCATCACCTTGTACAATTATCTGTCTCCTCTTACTGTGCAAGACTATGAACAAGTCAGACTGGGTGTTAATAAGCTGAATTTCTGCAGAGAGCCTGGTATCACTTGTATCTGTAAGGGTGGAAAGAGACACACTCTAGGTACCCATATATAGTAGAGAGCAGGTGCAGCATTTATAATATGCCTGCAGCTTTAACTTATTCATGGCTGGCAGGGTCTCTGTGCTACAAAAAAAAAAGAAGAACCACCTCCATTTTGTGCCCTTTAAAGAATAAACCTCACCCATATATAAACTTGGCTTTGATGTCCTTTTCCAGGAGACTCTTTGAATTAATGTAAACAAAATGGCATAATTGAGCTAAAAATAAAATTTGTGGTGGCTTCTACTGGCTCTTTCATTGGATGATCAACACGGCACTCTTTGAACAGGCGTCCAGCTCCACTCTGGCCTTTCTCTAAATGAGGATGTGATTACTTCAGAGTTAAAAGAAGCAGCAAGTCATTACTGCAGTCCACTCTGTGACCGCAGAGCCCTCCGAATCTAATCTCAAACAGCTCAGTGCACTCTTCTGTGGGTCATTATCGAAAACTGAAGACACAACACGGGCTGGTTAGTTCACTCCTTTAATCTTATAAAATGTCCTTTTTCAACAAAAATAAAAAACACCGCCAGACATATCAAACATTAATATGACTTATTATTCTGTTCTTTTCTGTATAAAGCTCTGTCCTGACACTACTGAGTTTAGATGATTGATTTTTTAAAAGACAAAAAGGAAAACATTTCAAGATAAACTGAAAAAACAGCATCTAAAATATTGTTTAGTTTCAGTTAAATATCACAACTAACACATAGCGGATACATTGGTATGAGTTAGATTATTAAATGGCTCATTAATGTATTGTAATTATAAAGGACTTTAAGAAGCCTATTTTTACTAATTGATCATTGATCAAGAAGACAAGCAAAAATGCCTCAAAGAAGGCTACCTCATGATATGTACATGTTATAGAGCATCAGATTTTTCAGTAAAGGACATTAAAAACTACCTGGAAATTTTGAATTAGCTTCCTTAATTGAGTCTCCAATGAACATTGTTGTTGAAGCAACCTGCTACCAAGTAGGTATAGGGCACAGAAGATTTTTTTGATTGGATTATGAAGTTCTGATGTGTCGAGGGTATAATTTTATGGTCCTGTTCAGTGGATGATTTTCTAGAAAATGTTTCTAGATTTTACTATAACCACATAACACCTCTAACAATATGACTGAAATTCGTAGCATAATAACGGCGCACCCTCAAAGAACACACTGTAAACGATAGAGAATAAGGACGTATGCACAAGGAGGGCCAAACCAGAAGTGAGATAATGAACTATTTTTGTGTACAAGGAGGGCCAAACCAGAAGTGAGATAATGAACTATTTTTGTGTCAACAAATTATTCGAATACAAATGTAAACAAACAGACACCAAATGACTCTAAAAAAAGAGAGGAAGAAGATTTTTTTTTTTGCAATATCAAATCAATAAAGCTATTGATTACATCCAAATTTTCAGAAGAGGTCTCTTGACACGATAACAGGTAATCAAAGAGTTTTCCACTCATCCAATCTTCAGGAGTTGCCCTCTTAAGGCCATGACTGTGACAAAAATGTGACTTTGTGCTATATTTGTGTGAATCAAAGGCCTATAAGCGTTTCTTCATTAATAAAAGTAGAAATTATTTGCCTCAGGACATGCGTGGTTCCTGTGTGTGTTGACAGCACATGGACATAGAAAAAATTAAGAGCAGCATGATGTTGCCAATAGTGATGAGATCTGAGCCCAAAAGCAAAACAAATGTCTCATATCACTCTTATTTCTAAAGCTTGGCTGACTGGACAGACGGAAAGAATAATCTTGTCTTCTGATAAACATTTCAATTGACTTTAAATTCTTTTTAGGAACCATCTTATAAGATATTAAAGCCATATTTATGTTTTTTTTTCCAGCCTTCCCACCATAAGTGCTCATTATTTATTTATAATGAGCACTTAAGGTCTTTGCAGGTCTTTGCAAATGCAAAGACCTGCTACGCATCACAGAGAGACAAAATGACTACAGAGGCCACATTTAAAGCTGTACTAAGCATCATATATTAACATTTAGCAAGGTGAGTATGGGTAGTATTATGAAAGCAGTCTGTGAGTTCACCACTTTTACTATGAGACTTTCAAAAAGCTGCCAACATCAAATTTAGTTCCAAGACAAAGGTTAAACGCTCCCCTACTGATTCTAAGTAGCAGAGGAGGTAAAAGTAGGAAGTTCAATCAGCCCTGAATGGACACTGATACTAATAGAGGCTCATTTTTAAAGCTTGCTGTGACGTATTGGGAGACAATGCGACACAAAGTGACCCACCGGCCAGTCATACCTGAGCAAGATGACGGACAGGTCAGACCAAGCATTATGCTGAACTGTACAGAAACTCCCTCAGGACTGAATTATAAAATCTCAACAGCGCATTACAGTCCAGGACTAACCTCTACATTTCCTCTGCAACACATTTCAGTACAGTGACAAATGTAAGCCGGCACACAACCCAGTTCTTTATGGACAAAGATACCAACAATGTGTGACTTTGTTTTAAAGGACCCAAAACTAAACAAAGAGTTTTCTGTTGGACGCAGGCAAACTCTGGGCCAGGGACCATCATCTCCGGCACCATGTAGACAACACTGTAACAGTGCATACTGATTCTATTTATTTTTAAAAAGGTATTTTACTCCAAACACTGAAAGAGAAATGATAACAAATGTACTAGTGTAAAAAGAAAAATCCTCAAAAGAGCCCCTTTGGGTTTTTTTTACAATTTTGCTTTAACGTCATCCGTTTAGTGAAGCAGAGAGGCTATTCTAATTGTTCCTAAGGGCAATAATAATATCTAAAAATTTTTTAAAAAGTGTGTTGCAGGTTTTCTTATAAATAAAAATTAATGATAAATTTTGTAATTAAATTCTAGAGGGACTCAAAAAATGGTCCTAATTTAGGTGAAAAAATGTACATTGGGTTGTGTTATTTTGATTGCCCCAATGGGGTAAATCAAAATCCAGGAAATAACAGATTTTAAGTTGCAAAACAGATGAAGCACACAGTTCAGTACTCTCTGTTTGGTTGCAGCCATTTGTGTTGTATTTTCTTACTTGTGAAGCCGATACAAATGTTTGTTATGACCAAGCTACACTCGTTCATTCACTGTGCTGAGATTATTCCACAGCTATTCCTATTGTTTTCTGCATGTATATAACATGCGGAAATAATTTGTGGAGAATAACTGTGATAATAATAAGTCCATTTTGATGGTTTGATATGACGGAGATATTTTTGATATAGAAACTCCGCCACATGATTTTTGTCATATGGTTTCAAGTCTTTTCCAACGGATGTCAGTGAAAGAATTTTCTCCGGCCATATGGAGCACACATCTCGTCACCCAGAACATAGAAAGCTTGTCCACTTTTCTCTTGCTAATACAAAGACAAGTGTGGCAGTTTATAAACGTTTTTGTGTATGAAAATCATGGAGAGTCATGGAAACTAAAAATAGCAATAGCAGTCCCATGACTCTTAGGAAGGTAAAGCTGTCTCAGACCCACAGTTAGAAAGGTACATGCGAAGGCAGACTAGACCATCAAAAAGTACAAATTTGAAATGTTATTATACTTGTAATAATTATGTTATTTACAAAGCCAGAAAACATATAAAACATTCCATATAACATTATTATTACTGAAATAATTATGTTACATCATTTTAGTTTTAGAGGGGGGGGGAAATCATAAAAAAATAAAACTATAATATAATTTTATGGATTCCTGTTTGTTTGTTTTTGCTAAACTACATGGCTATTTTACTCAAGGTTAACATACATACTCTGTGCTCTCATTTTCTAAAGAAATAAATTGAAATAAAACACAAAATCCCATGCAGCTGTCACGCCTGAAACCAGATGCTAAATCATTTCCCCTGCAGGAATGTGCATCGCTCCCTCTGATCTGCCTTTAATCAGTTCTGTCGCATCACCAATCTCCTCAAGCCCCCTCCTGTTCCTCTGCTGGCACCTTCCTCACCTTTATCTTCCTTCATCAATCCTGCTCCTCCACTGAGCATCTCTCCCCCTCCCTCCCATCACTCCTTGGTACGGCCAAGACATTGGCCGCCCAGAAGGGTAATTCATCACAGCAACCTGGCACTTAACAGGGCCGTGCAAACACGCGCATACACACACCACTATACCTGGTGCCTCACAGGAAAAACACAAGACCCAGAGAACCACTGTACATCGCAAGGATACGAGCTGCTTACTTTAATCCCATAAAATCCGTACATTACAAATTAAACTGCTAAATACATTTAAATATATATAAATATAAAACATTAGAAATAAAGTTCCATTTTAATAGTGAGGCAGCTTAAAACAGCAGCTTTTTAAACTACCAGCATGATAGTTGTGAGACAGGCTGTTGACATGTGAAGACTCACCTTCTCTACGTTCTCCACCGTGAAGTCCAGGGCGTCCGGTGTGGTTGCTATTCTCCCCGGCGTCTCCATATCTCCGCGGACACGGAGCTGTCAAACGGGTAAAGCGGAGAAAAGCGTTCACTTATTGAATTCCCGCTACAGATACTCACATTTCACTACTGTACTCGCCACAGGAGCCCGTCTGACTCTTTTATATGTGTTGCTTTAATTCGTATCTGGGCTTTAAGGGTGACATGGAAACGCCGACCGGAAAGCTAACGCCTAGCCTGCTGTCGCTAGCCCTCCCACAGTAGAAAAACCACACGAAGCAAGCGGCTATGCTAACGCAAAGCTAACTAATTTGCAATGTAAGCGGACACGGGCGCACACACGCGACCACCCGATTATGTAAACAGTCTTATTGTGACAACATAGTAAAAACTACGCAATGACAGAATGTTATCTGAGAGAAGCTCAGAGGACTGTCATTTCCACACCTTTCTGTCCACCGACGGTATGAGACGATGCTGGCAGCTCCCTCCCAACCGCTTCTCCGTCACCAGGAGCTTTTTGCTGCATTCAAGAACTGTGGGAAATTCTGTAGTGGAAGCATAGTGAAGGTTAGGACACGTACTGATTATTATGTGTATTATTTCTACAGTTATCTGGTTTGTTCTTAAACATACCTCTCTTTATGAATGCAACATTATTTTTGTGTACGTGCAGATCATCGAGCATTCCTAAATGAAGAATCAAACCAAACACCAAAGAGATGTTTTCTTTTCTGAGAAGCTACAAACAAATTACAGTTATTTTTGAAGAATGAGCCTCTCTCTGGAGGTTCACTGTGCTTTGCTCAATAGCCAAAGCATGTACACTGATACAGAAGGGCTCAACTGGATTGCGCAGCCCATGAAAAAAAATAAAAACATCACTGCTCCTAGGTTCTTCAAGCTCTTGATTAATGAATCAATTTGCGAGCTCCATTAAGCACATAGCTCATGCGTATGTTTAATGTTTATTGGCTAATATCCATTACAAACACATGTTGTTTAGATTGTATAAGTTTCCATTACTATTTAATATCCCCATGCACGCCCTCGTACATTTTTGTAAATAACACTGGAAATCATGTAGGTTCCTGCATATTTTTTAACTATACTTTTACTAGTATATTTGATGTTAATATTCAATTCTATTTGAAGACCCATTTTCTACAGCTAGGTCCTCCTCATTAGCCTACTTTAGTATATATATACATATAAAGATTTTATTTCCACCCCTTCTCTCACCATCTTGTAAAAGGAAAGATGTAAGTTCTATTTCAGCCTTCTCCTTTGAAGCATGTGAAGGTGCCCATGAGCAAGACCCCAACTTGCCTAAGTATTGGTAAATTAATATACGAGAAGTTCTGCTTGTGGTTGAGTGAATGTGACTCCAGCGTGAAAATGTTATATGGTCAGTATGACAAGTTCAGTCCGTCCTCCTTTTTGATATCTTTCAATCTGGTGGCATGCAGGCGTGTCACATGCAGATTGCACGGACAAGGCCACGGCGCCTCCCTGTGGGTGAAGCAATGCATTACATCACTGTTGTATTATATTTGAGGTAAATAAATCATACCGAAGGGTGAATAATAAACTTATTATAACCTAAGAAAACACATTTAAATAAAGAATGATGGAACAGACCTGTTTCATTAACTGTAGAGCTGTGAAATCCTTTGGATAAAAAAACATTTCAATATCAGAGGAAGATAAACTGAACACCGTTACGTGCCAGAAACTGGGACAAGTGCGTCCCTGTGGAGGAGTTTTGGCCTGCTCTTTGGAAAATTGTTTTAAATTGGCCACAGTGGATGACTCAGAGCATGGACCACCTGTTTAAAGTCAAGCTATAGCATCTCAATCAGATTTAAGTCTGTATTTTGACTAGCCAACTCCAAAATCTTTGTCTGATTGTGTGTTTTTTTTGTTGTTGTTCTTTTTGTTTATTCAGTTTTTTATTTTAGCTGTTCAGTAGTTCGTTTGCTGCTATGCTTCTATGCTATTCTATTAGGCCGCACAATCCAAATGTGTTTGAGCTTAAAGTTAGAAACTGATGACTGAACAGACAGCAGAATTTATGGTTCAATACAATGGAGAAAATTGTCAAATTTACCTGTAGGAGCAAACCAGTTCCAGACCATTACACTACCAGCTCTGTGTTTAACTGTTGACATGCTCTGTACGTTTTTACCTCACACCACACACCTACTCAAAAGTTGTTTGTTTGTTTATTGTGAAAGATAAACTTCTTGTTTTGTTTATTTATTTATTCATTCTTTTTTTTTTTTAGCAGTGGCTTTATGTGCATGCAGAAGATAATGAATAGATATTGCTGGACAATAGATAATATATCATTTTAATTCTACAATAGGCCGTGACCATTTTGATTCGATTGAAAACACAATTTTGCATTCTCCACAATATTCATCTGAGAAGCGAATGAATCAGCAAAAAGTGGGGAAAACACATGTGGGTGTGTGTTTAGAAAGTATCCATGGCACACATTTCAGCGAAACGCAGAAAACACATAAAAAAAGCCAAATTTCTAGTCAGAGCTGGACCACGTCATGTGTCTGCCTTGCGTACTCCGCTACAGTAGGTGGCGGTATACAAGGTAGAAATGACACTGTAGTATGAAAACGCAAAACAGAAGAAAAACGAAGAAGAGTGAAGCTGAGTGGTGACCCGCCGGCAGAGAAGAAGCTTGAAGTGTCCGTATTCTCTGTTCTGAGTCAGTCCTGTGGATTTGTAGTTAGACTAGCTGCTCTGCTACTTTGACTTTTACCTCCATGTTGCTCACGTAGCGAGTAATTACAGCGGGGAGAAGAGTACTGAACCCCATAACTAAGAGTTGGATCCCCAATTGAGGTAAAAACAGGCAAATAAATAAAATATAGAGGCTATAATATATCATGGTATTCCGTCCTACCTGTTATATATCTTAAATTAAATGTGTAATGTTAAGTAATAGTGTTGTAGCAGATGTCAGCGAGCTGCCGTTACTTTCCAACCGCTGTGGCATAAATGAGCCTCCAACTTACTGTCTTTATAAGACAGTAAAATGTGTCTAATTGATCAACCATTACAGTCACATAAAAAATAAACACCTGTTTATACAGAAGTGATTTGTTTGTAAAGCCTCCTCTGTTGTTGGAATAAGAGTTTAATTCTAAGGAATAAAATTGTTTTAAACTTTATCCAAGCATGACTCACTAAGTGTTTCTGCCAAGATCAGTTCAACTGCACTCATGAGATCTCTTGCTAAAGTCTATCATTATTGGACAACTTGACTATCCAGGATCTTGGATTTCAACTTTAAGTGGCAAAAGGTTTTGCAACGTAATCCTCCTTGGAGTGTCAGAAAGCCTAACTCAGCTGTTGCATCAGAGAGCTGGGACAAATTGGGTCTCGGGTTACTCCCCTACCGTAGCTCCACTGCTATTTTTGCTGGAAAAACCTCATACTGATCAATGATCAATTACATGTGATGTTTGACTTTCTGCTTCTATCTCAGGATATGAACTGGGACAGTCGGTTAAACTCCATCCTGTCTGTAGCCGACGGCAACGTCGCCAAGATGAGGGTGAGTACATTCAAGGATGAGCCATTACTTTTTAATCAGTGTAGAATCTTCCTTTGGTTTTGCTTCTGCTCTCAGTCACCCTATTGTCACTGATAAGGAAGAATACACAATTCTCCTGGACGATTGCACACCAATTCCTAATCTTCCATTTTATGGAAAAGAATGTTTATTGTCATCTACATATGTATATTTAATCCGAAACAACTTGACTGATATGTATAAGTCGAGGTTTAGAACCAAGCACGTCCCGAAAAGAGCCCTGGTTACAATAGTAAACCTTGAAAATTCATTTTGATCACTGTTACAATTTTTATTAGAATTTTATTAGAATTTTTTATTAGAATTTTTCTTGATTTCGATGATCTAGATCATTTTATGGCGCTGTTCAAGGCGCCAAACTTTGATTTTCGGCGCCTCCTTGAACATCAGTTTAGTTTAAATGATTTTGTTCTCAATCGATTGTCTTTATATTTTACTGGTACAAGATTTGTTTAGCCCTTATTGATAACTTTGAATCCAAGAAAGGTTATGGTGTTCAGTTTGCCACAAGGATGTATTCTTGGTCCGATTTGGTCTAATTTACTTTTCTTGGTTTTGATGACACACATCTGTGTTATGCTTACAACGGTAACCTTGTACATAATCTTGCTGAATGCCTTTCTGATGTCAAGTTTCTAAAGTTGAACGAGGACAAAACTGAGATTCATCTTGTGGACCTTGATAGTCTGAAAAACATCTGAATCCTTTGTTGGTTTAACTTGTGAGCATGTTAAACCAACATGTCACTTCAGATAGTGACCTTAGTTTTATGAAACACATCCAAGGTCTGAATTTTATCACCTTAGAGTCAATCCAAAGTCAGATCCCTTCTGTCTCAACCTGTCTTAGAAAAACGGATTCATACCTGTTATTTATTTTGATTTTCTTTTCTTTATATCCAGAATAAACTTTGCTCTTGTTCTTCCGGTCATTATGCTCCTGTCCTCTGAAATTCTCTTTCATAAGACTTCAGATCAATTTCTAGCTTTTTAGACTTTAAAGCAAACTCGAAACATGCTCGTTCTCTCCGAATTTTAGCTGGGAATATTTGGTTTCATAAATGGCATTCTACTTATTATTTTTTGACTATATTCACTTCCTTCAATTTATGTTTTCACGGGATCTTTTTTTTTCAATAGTTTTTTTCATTCTACTTTTCTTTCCTAGCACATCGAGTCTTCATTTGTCAAATGAAATGTGCATTATAAACAAGTTTGACTCGACTTCTAATTCACAGTTTTAGTGGAGAAACAGCAGGTGGCAGTAGAGCCGCTTCAAATCCTCCAAACCAACTTGAGTTTTAAAATGGTTCTTGGCTTTTCGAGGTGAAATCAAATGAGAGTTTTGTTGTTCCCCCTTGTACTTCTGAATAGTTTTTGTGTGTCAACAGGAAAGACTGACATCTGCTGGGAAATTCCCTCAAGGAGCAGAAGGTGGGTGAATTATTTCAGATTCAAAAGGGAAGTTCCCACCTGTTTGTTTAGCTTTTTTTTTCTTCTTTTTTTTCAAACTAATCAAATCATTTCAGATGACTTTGTTTTACCTCTGGTTCGCATTTGCAGTGAAAGGGAGTGAATTAAGTTCACATTGGGACCCTCCTGCTTCTTTCTGCGCAGCGCGCCCCCACTACAGGCCTCCCTCACCTCTCCGTTCGGGCGTGCAGTGGGCTGACCTCGCCGCCATTCAGTCACAGCTTCAGATACAGAGTGAGGTGTGTGTCCGTTTCGTCCAGTTACTTCAGGTGTCTTTTTTGTTTGTTTGTTTTTTAAATGTGATTAGCCAGCACAAAGTCACTCTGGAGTGTGAGCTGGAAACTAATGAATGGTTTTCAGTATTTTTGATAGTAATGATCTAAAAGTGTGGCAGGCATTGGCTTTTCTTCCACTCATGTTTGTT